ATTCATAGAGAAAGAATTAATCTATTAATTTTTAAATAATCTAATAATAAGAAGAGTCTAATATGATAATTCATATTAATGAGATTATTAAATTATCAGAAAGATTAACTTCTTACAAATATTTTGTTTTTGTATATCTGAGATATTAGTAACATAATATTTCTGTATATGTGTTATGTAATGTTTTTTCATTTAATTTATGATAATCGTTACAAAATCTTATCTTCGATGAAGAATTTATAAGAAGAGAAATTAAAAAGACTTGAATTATCAAGAAAAATTCATTTTGATTAATAATAAATTTTTGTTCATTGTCAGTTACATTTGATCAGATTTCAATCAATATAAACGGTTTTCTACTATCAAAAAAAGCATATGTAGATTGTGTATAAGCTATAGATAAATCGAGATTAGAATAGATAATAGTCAAATAAATACGATTAGACTCATTGTTTATTTTAACCACATTCATCTCCACTAACATTCATATTTGGATGATTTCCAGGTGGTATTTCATTATTTGGATTTTTCTTTCGATTTTTTTCACTTAATTTATTAAATAAGGGTTCAGCTTGATTAACTAATTCAGCAACTAATTGATGTGCTCCACCTATTTTAACACCACTATGTGCACAACAAATATTATCAAAAGGCCAATCTTTTAATATATTTTTCATCCAATCACGAAATTCAAATGGAGCATCAACTGTTGGATATAATCCTGGCCCTTTAATTGATGGATGAAATGCCATTGTACCATGTTTAAAACCAATTAATTTAAGTAGAAAACTTGGATGATCACCATAAATAATCGTATCATCAACATGTATAGTATGTGATAAACGATGAAATACAAAAACACTTACAAAATGATTACTTGATTCAGGTAAAGGATTAATAAATTCAGCACCTATACAAAATACAATAAAAAAAATTAATTTTTTATATTAAATATATAACATTTAAAAAATATATTTACCAGCTGGTATTCGCATTTCTACTTCTGGTTCCCATTTTTTTCTTACATTACAATCGTCAAGTGAACCATTCCATGGTATTTGTGTAAATCGTCTTAAATGTCTTGGTGTACCATAATATTCTACATTTGGATATGTTTCATAAAATGTTTGAAATGCTAATGTATGAAATGGATGTACACCAATAACAGCTTGAATATTTTTTCCATTATCTGTTAAACGATTGATTTCATTTCGTATTTGATCATTTAATATAACTGGATTAATAATAAGAAATTTTCCATTATTTAATCGAATTAATGACATATGAGAACCAATATCAATTAGGCCAGCTAACATTTTAAAATTTACTCGTATATTCCAAAAATTTGGTCCAATTTCATATAAGACATTTTTATCAATATGAACGGGATCAGATTTTGTTACTGACATTATAAAATCTAGAAAAATAATAATTCATTTATTTATAGATTTCAAAAAGATATGCTTTATTAATAAATATGTCATATGATGAGAATTTTAAGGCATTAATATGCTTGATTTTATCCTTTTAAAATATTATCGAAAAATAGAAAGATCAAAAATAATTAAATATTTTTTTTTTCTGACATATAGTTGCGTGTCTTCCAGTTCTTTATTGTTTCTAGAGTAGGAATAAGCAAAACTAAGTTAATAGAATTGAATAATTGCTTTTATATTCCAGTCATGTTAAACTTTCTGCATTTGTCAGAAGAAAAAAAAAAACAAATATTTATCTTAATTTTTTTTCCTTCCATAATTTACGACAACGCGAAGAGGACAAAAAAAAAAGATTTGTAAGAATATATTTTATTATAGATCGGCGTGACCTGTCATTGAAACTATCTCGCATGTCGAAAGTTCGAACTCATTAAAAAATAAAAGCAAAGCTACTCAACCATAGAAAATACATTGTCGATAGATTTTTGAATTATATGACAGACTGTAAAATACTCAAGTGATATAGGTTTAATTTGTTGTTCGATGAATATGTAAAACGAAATTGATTGAGTAATTTCATAACAAAGATCTATATATATTTTTTTTTTTCTTTATTATTATGTGTAATTGATTGAAGACTGAACGGAAGTTCTACGGGATGATAATCAAAGTGAATCAGTTGATTCATAGAGAATACATTTATAGTCAAAAATTGCAATATCTTTACTTCAGTTTACTCGAATCGGCTGATTTTTTGGTTGATGGTAGAAATTTATTTAAAGTTTTTTTTTTCTCATAAGGATAGCAGAAATAAATAATATTGTCAAGTTATATTTTTAGCTTCACGAAAGAAATTTGACCAATTGACAAGTAAAGAAAATACATACGAAGTGTTCCATCGATAATTTTCAGTTGTTATCGAAGAGAATAATAATAATAAGTCAAAACGAACTTACAGCTCATTAAGCACTAACTTCCTTACAAAAACCAATGCTCCATATTTGAAAATTCGAAGTTTTGTAATCATATACTTTTAAACTAATTAGTTTTGAAAATTTACCGTCTGTACATACTACACATAAGTTTTTCTTACTTGATGATAACAGATAAAATTACTTTCATGATACCAACCATAAAATTTGATAACAATATTTGCTTATCTTATCCTGATAAAAAAGACTCTGAATAAACTTCTACCCCTAACCAAGAGATCAACACATTTGACTGAAGTGATACGGAGATCTTTCATTTGTTATCGTAGCGCTATTTATCGCTCACTTTGTACACATATCAGAAAAAATGATTCGATTTCAGTTACAATATGTTGACATCTGAGGTTTAAAACCTTCCGCGTTGAAAATTAAACAAAAAACGATGAAATTCCATAACGATCATTATTTAAAATTTACAGAGAGTTCACTTTTGTCATTGAGATGTCAAGGCAAACGAAGTATTGTTTAAATGCGACCACGAACTTTATTATTTAATTCATCACTAACTACGTGTCTTTCTGATAGGAGATGTTTCTTTTCTAATGGCAACACAAACAATTTACGAAGGAATCTCTTCAGGTCATAGATATTACATAGTGCTTTAATCAAAACCCTAAAAGGATTTCAGCTCCTATTAAAATTTAACTAAGCTATCGAATTTTAATCTGAAACTCTGTGCATTAGAGAACTCAAGTAGACTAGTATTCATAAAAAACAAACTCACTAGTTTTCAACGATGTCTTCGAGATATAAAGCTTTCTAATAATATAAATAATGTATTCGCGATGAAATCGTTCTCAATCTCCCATAATCAATATTTGTCTCTTAATCCCATCAAACATAAGCTTATCATCGGCAATTACACTTTTCTTTTTCCTTTACACTCATAAAAAAGTCTATGCAAAAAGTTCTGTTTCATAATACTGATTGATATTTATTATTCAAGAAAAAAAAAACCAAAATCAAACACACGTATACTTTTCATACGCTCGCTCTAACGCTATGAGCTGACTGACAGCAGAGCAAAAAAAAAGAAGAAGAGATTAATCAAGAGTAAAAAAGAAAACGATTATAACAAGTCTTTACACAGACGTACAAAACGAATAAAGCACCCACTGTTCAAAATTCAATATATGTATGTATGTATGTATGTATGTTTATATGTGTGTGGTTCTGATTTTTATATGTTGTGTAAAAGACCAAGAAGACAGCACGAGAGAAAAAAAAATAAATAATGAAAAATGAAATAAAAGTAAAAAGAAAAGAAAGAAAGAAACCTGTATTGATGACACGACAATTAACAAAATGAAACAGAATAATAACGAATGAATCAAATTTCTGCATACAATATAGTTCATTATTTTTTTTTTTTTCTATAAGTAGATAAATGACTTTTGTATCTCAAATCATAATACAAGCCTGACTAATGGACGTATAAATGATTAAGATAAACTATTAAAAATGAGAATTAAAAAAAAGAAAAAAGACAAAAAAAAAGAGCGTGCGTGCGCGCGCCCGAGAGAGAAAAATGTCTAATGTTTCTTCAATGTTTGTCCAACATAATAATTTCCATTTTGATAACCACCTTGTCCAATACCTTGTTGTGTTTTCAAACAAACCGTACAACGACTTATTTTATTTCTATGATTACCAGATTTTAATGTTTCTTGTCGTGGGATTTCAAATTGATTATTTTGATCAATAACAGTCATCCAATAACTAAATTTATTTGCATAATACATACAATTACCATCTGTTCCTGAACATTCAATAAATGGTGTTGCACGAAAATCTTCAAGACATGAACCAGGACTTGATAGTGATTGACCACCACCTTGTGCACCACGACCAAGGTGCTAAAAAAAAAAGAAAACAAACTCTTTTTCTCACATATCAAGATATTTTTCTGTACTACTAAAAAAAAACAGATAGCACTTAATATTCTTATATAATATGGAAAAAAAAAAATTTTTTTATTTCTTTTCTTTTTCACATACCATTACAAAACTATAACCTTGCCATAGGATATTCCAACCGTTTGGACATGGTGGTGGTGTCATTGATAAACTATGGAATGACATAACATTAGCAGGAGCTTCACATACAGCACAACGTGATATATATGGTCGAATTTGTTCACGTTGAACAGGCATCATTGGCATTGGTTCTGTTGTTGATAAATAATATGTTAAATCATTTGTTTGACCATAATAACAAACATTTGTATGATCACAACGTAAATAGGGTAATGCAGAAAATTTTTGAAGACATGAACCAGCCGAACCTAAAATATAAATTTTAAGATTTATATATTTAATGAATGAAACAAAAAAAAACAAAAAGAAAAGTCGATATTTACCAAGATCTTGATGATAACCATGATCATTGCCTTGCATCATAAGTAAACTATAACCATCCCAAAGTTTAACCATGCCTGATGGACATTCGGGTACTTGAGCTGATTGCGAATGACGTACAACCAAAAATCCAGTTCGTTGAAGACCAGGACCTGGTGGACCAGGAGGACCACTAGCACCTAAAATTTACAGAAAAAACAACAATAATAATTATTATCAATGGTTTTTTTTAATAATTCATTTACCTGGTGGACCAGCAATACCACCAACACCTGGAATACCTGAAGCACCCTAAATTATAATCGATATGATAAAAATTTTAAAACAACAAAAAAAATATTTTCTCTCAAAATATACTTACACGTTCGCCTTTAGGTCCAACATAACCTGGTAAACCTGGTTGACCTGGTTGTCCTGGTGGACCAGTTTCTCCTCGTGGACCAGATGGACCTGTTGACACATAGATAATTAATCAATAAAAATAGATTTCATATACATACCTATTGGTCCTTGAAGTCCGGGCAAGCCTTTAAACGAGAAAATAAAAATTTTTAAGGAGAAAAAATAAAGAATAAATATTTTCTTACCAGGTAATCCAGCTGAACCTTGATCTCCTTTCATACCAGGACGACCAACAATTTGTTCTGGTTGACTACAATCACCTTTCGGACCAGGTGTACCTATTTATTTAAATAATACAAAAAAAAAAAGATTTTCAAAAATAAAAAATTAAACAAATATTTACCGGGTAATCCAGGAGCACCAGGACGACCATCAAGACCACGATCACCTTTCTGTCCGGAAAGACCTTTTAAAAAGAAAAAAAACAATAAACATACATACATTTCAAAGTTGACTATTTTCACATACCTGGATTGCCTGGAAATCCACTATTTCCTAGAATATTAAACAAAAATCAATAAATATACTTCACTTTTAACTTAAGAACTCACCTTTTTCTCCTGATAAACCGGGTTGACCTATATATATATATATATTAAAAATAAAATTACATCATAAAATAGTAATTTTAATAGACAAACCTGGCATTCCGGCAAAGCCACGTTCACCTTAAACAGAAGATAGATTATCTTTATGATTTAATTCTTTCTCGAATTAACATACCTGGAAGACCTGGTAAACCATTTGAACCTGGAAATCCATCACGTCCTTTAGGACCTGGAATACCTGGTAAACCAGGAGCACCGGGAAGACCTAACATAATAAACAAAATATATTATGATTTTTTTTTTCTTGAAGATTAAAAATTAATTTTTATACTAACCGTCTTTACCCATTGTACCAGGTGAACCTACAAATATAATAGAAAGTCAATACAACGAAAAAAAAAAAAATAAGTTGTTTTACCTTGTAAACCTGGTGGACCTGGAAGACCTGGGATACCAGCATCACCTTTCTAAATAGAATATGAGAAACAAAAACATTTATATTCATTCAATATATTTATTAACATACTTGTCCAACCATTGGTGTATCACAATCTCGACCAGGAATACCAGATGAACCACTTAAACCTGGATTTCTGAAAGTAAAAAAAAAGAAATAAAGAAATAAAGTTTATTTTAAAGTTTTATTCATTTGTATCTTACCCTTTCTCTCCTGG